ATTCGGGGAAAATATGATGTGCCTTTTAACTTTCCAAAATAGTATTTGACCTTTCTGCTTACGTAAGAGAGTTTGCAGCTGAACGGCCCAAGCTGTGTACACCACGCCCTATGGATCAGGCAAATTTGGACATGTCTGAGAAGTCTTTAGGTGGATCCACCAAAGCTCCTCACATCTGAAGAGAACTAAATCATCCTTAAGGAACAGAAGGGTGGGCTTCAATTCTCATCCCAAAGTCCCAGTTGTCAGCCCATGTGTAACCATGCTGAGAATAGTCACCATTACGTCACACACTATAAGAAGTCTCTAAGGAAAGAAGGCTTTAACTGTATATATTATTCATGAGCTTTGAAAACTTGTTCCCTTGTATTTTCATTTGGGGATTGCCACAGGAAAAGAGCAATGGAAAAAAAAAAAACAACCCTACATTTCTGAAATTGCCAAAACCAGGAGGAGCATATGGCTACGGCTTTGAGATGGTGGGTGGACAGAGGGTTGGTGGCTCCCTGAGGGCGTGACTTCCTGGTGGAGCATGCTGGAACATATTGCCTCACCATGGTAAGGATGGAGTCATTTCTGTAACTGGAAATCTGGACCAAGAAAAGGATAGCTAAGGATGCTATTCCGAAGGCCAGCGTGTTCAGGGTGTATACCACAGACACTTACTAAAAACTCTATGGAGGGATCTGTAGGACAGCAGAGGTACTGAAGCTGTGGTGGGGGCTGAGCACCACAGGCCGTATACCAGCTTCTTTATACCATGACTTGGGGAGCCCCACCTACAGGAACGTGTTGGCAAGAGCTGCATGTATTACATTAGACTGTCTTGAGTACATGGGATAGCAATGAATAAAAGGTAAGCATAAATGTGTTTCTTTCTTCCTAGGGTTTGGGTCAGTTCAATCCTTTTCAAGTAACATGAAAATCATAACAGGAGAGCTGGGGGACAGTGAGTTTTGGGGGAAGAGGACATGTCTGAGGCAGAAACAGAAATCGTTTGACTTTTTATAATGTTTGGGATCACTGTGTTCTCATGGATTTTTTGATTCATTGAAAGTAATAACCCAAAACTTCAAGATTCCACATACTGCCAAGGCCTGGTTGCTCATGTCTGTAACCTCAACATTCACAAGGCTCAGGTAGTAAGATTGCAATGAATTCCAGGTCAGACGGGGCTACATAGAGTTCTAGGCCAGCCTGGACTACAGTGTACAATTCTCTCTCAACAAAGCATAACAAGAAAAGACAATATAGGCCGGGCAGTGGTGGCGCACGCCTTTAATCCCAGCACTTGGGAGGCAGAGGCAGGCAGATTTCTGAGTTCGAGGCCAGCCTGGTCTACAGAGTGAGTTCCAGGACAGCCAGGGCTACACAGAGAAACCCTGTCTCCAAAAACCAAAAAAAAAAAAAAAAAAGACAATATATACCACTAACACCCCATATACTGAAGTTTCCCTTATCCTTTTGTGTGGGATACATTCTCAGATCCCTCGTGGCTACTAGAAACCACAGTTGGTACAAAATCCTATAGTTACCTTATTTTTCTTATACATAAGATACCTATGCTATTCATATGCTATGCATAGGAAGAGATAGATATCACTAATGAATAATAACAAACTTGGACAGCCACAAAGTACTTTAATAAGAGTTACATGAATCTAGATTTCTCTCTTTCAAGGCTTCTCATCATATCCTATGATAGTTTTGGACTAGGGTTGAAAATTAACTGAGTAGGGAAGGGGACTCTCCTATTTTTATTGGTTCGGTCTTAACAAGGATATCTTGCCAAATTATGAAACCCCCTCCCCATTTTATTTTCTGGGGAAAGCTGTCTACTTTCCAGCGTCATTTCTGAGGGAAAGGCAAAGCACAGAGCGTGGTGGGATACATTTATAATTGTAGAACCCAGGAGGCTGAAGCAGAAGGATTGGGAGTTCAAGGTCAATTTGGGCTACATAGTGAATTTGAGATGAACCTGGCCTCTACAAAAAGACCCTGTCTCAAAATCAGAACAAAACAAAACAAACACCTAAAGCTTAAAAGAAGAAAATAATCCTGGAATGGTGGCATACACATTTAATCTCAGCATTTGAGAGGCAGATGGATCGCTGAGATTTTGAAGCTAGCCTGGTCTACATAATAAATTCTAGGACATCCAGGGGTACATAGAGAGACCATGTCTCAAAACAACAGCAAAACCAAGAAGAGAAAGGAGAAGGAGGAGGAGAAAACAGAGTCAAAGAATTTACTTATCAAGAGTTTCATCTTTTGCATATAAAGTTTGGTGTTTTGTTTTTGCCTTTTTCTGACCTGGTTACTTTTCCTCTGAATACTGCTCTGGAAAGCCAGAGCAGGATGCTCTGTTCTGGACCATCTGCTAGAGGCATGAATGCATCCGTATCATTTGTGCTTATCTCATGGCTATATTAATAACTTTGATGTTGGCTTTTGTGCCTGATATTCAAATATCTGTCATAATAACCACAAATAAATTTTATAAAAGGAAAAGACAAAAATAAATAAACTGAAAAGTACATTGATTTAAAAATTAACATTGTAGCATAAATTATACTAGAAGGAATTAAAATGATTCATTAAAGTGGAGAAAAATTTTTTAATTGCTTTGCTGACTTACTCTGCAGGGCATCAAGCATGACAGTCAAGCCCTTGCAAGCCTTGATAGCTTGAGAAAGTAGAAACCTGAAGGTTCTGTGCTGACCTTCCTAGATCCTGTCAGTCCCTCTCCAGAGCTCAGACAAGGAACTGCTTCTGCGTTAGAACACATTTTAAAGGCTGATTTTATATTTTAAAGATAAGAACTGTTAATGTTAAAGGCTACATGGGATTAGAAAGGCTATGAATTCATATTAGCTGTCTTGGTATGACACTTCCCACCTCCAACATAAAAAATGCTTGTTCTCTCAAATTTGATTTCCATCCAAACATTGAGGTCAAGTTAAAATTTAAAAATGAAAAGAGCATACTTTGATTCTGTGAGACCTTGAAGGAATAAACAATAGTGTATATCCTTTGTTGTATTCTGACCTGGTAGAACAAATATTTGTCAAGATAGAGACAGGGAAATCAATGTGAGCCTGAAGCTAACCTGGGCTACCTGAGTTCCAGGGCAGCCTAAGCTACAATATATATTCTTGTCACACACACACACACACACACACACACACACACACACACACGCAAGTAAATAAATAAAAGACACATCACTATTAGTGATCTTGTTAAGATAAACATTAAATATAACCACTTGAAGTTTGAAAATGAGACATACTTGGGGTTGTTAAGATGGTCTGTTGGGTAAAAATGCTTGTTGCCAAGTCTGTTGACAGAGTTTGATCCTCATCCCACACGGTAGGACAGAACCAGTTCCTGGAAGTTGTCCACTGACCACCACAAGCATGCCATGGTGCATGCATGCCGTCTCTCTGTCTTTGTCTCTGTCTTTCTCTCTTTCTTATACACACAGCAATAATAATAAAAAATGAATATTTTTTTTTTAAAGAAATAGGCTGTATTCTGTCTCTCTGCCACTCCGGTTAGGAGTCAATTTGGTATCTGAGAAGGACATCTGCTGAACAGAGTTTACAAGTTTTCTGTTTGCCCTCTGGCCAAAACACATACCAAGAATGAAGATCCTAGATCTTTAGATCTTTTATAGTCCTTGATCAACTCTTGCAGTAATGTGTAACATGCGCCTGGAAAAAAAACAAAACCCCCAAAAAACCTGCCTATGGGGTAAACACCTGTCTTCCACTTTTCCCGGTCTCCTAAGCTATCTCCTTCTGCTCTATGAAACTCTCCCTTTAAAAAAAAAAAAAATCCAGTCACCTAAGATACAATACAGCGAAATCCTTGATCTCCCATATGCTGCCAATCAACTTCTTTTCTCCTCGAAAATAAAATGCTTCCTAGCAACCACGAAATATTTTTTAGTTTTAAATCTTCCAAACGACAGAATTACTATTGCCCTAAATGTTTTGTTTTGCTTTTTAAAAAGCAACTCACCGATGAGGAGTATTCCTGGCAAGAGGTTCTGGTAGGTTCAGTCCCACAGATCTACATTTTGCTCAGCTCTTTCCAATCAGGTGAAAGCCAGAAAGTAAACCGTCCAGGTGCTCCGGGCGCTCTGGTGCCCGGTGAGGTCCCAGAGCCTCCTCACACGCCCCAGCAGCTGCTGGCTGCAGCTTGTTTTTCAGGGACAGTGACCTCCAACACCTTTGATTTAGCGCCGCAACTCAATCTTAATGGTTCGCGGACGAGCGAGCGAACACATCACGTGCCAAGACAACACCTTAAGAGGGTGGGAAGCTTTGCAACCAGAAAGACATGCGGAAAATGTTCAGCAGTCAGCTCAGCCTGCTCATTTGTCACAAAACAACACAACGACACTCCGAGTGGAGGGGGACTGATTTCTGCAGCCTTCAATCAGACCGTCCGCACCAGTGCCGGCGGCCCCTCCCTCTCCTAAGAGGGAAATTCTGGGCAACCACTCAAGAACAGTGGCATTAGCATTTCTGAAATTCAAATTCATTTTCCTTTCTGTCTGGGAGTTGATTTCTCTCCCTTCGTTTACTCACCTGACACTTACTTTCTTCCGATCTTTCTGTTTCAGGTCTACTTATGGACAAAGTCACACAGCCACTGAAAAGCAGTGGCTTAAATTTATCTTCCTAGCCAAGGGGCAGACTCTGCTCCAGGCTCAGCAGAACAACTGTCAATAACTCTTTCCCAACTTTTAACCCATGGCTCTCCAGGTTCACCACCAGGGGTGTTAGCAGTTGCTTAAAAGTTGGCTTTCAGGTGAGACACGTTTCACAGTTTCTAAATGTCCTGAAGTGAGTGAGATAGCGTTTGCTTCTTCGTGACCACCCAGACTTTAATTCTAAGAACAAACATCGAACATTCTGAACACCAAACAGGCTATTTGCATCAGTACTCGATAACTTAGGAAACCGTCACATGACCTGAGTTAAACTCACCCGTTTGGTCTCTGAGATTGAAGTTTTAGAGTCTCCTTCGCAGATCTTCTGAATGAGAACAGTGAAGCAAAGGATGACCGAAAGCTCATTCGGGGAGAAACAGATGGCTTTTGGTTTATTAGGCTTTTAGATCTTGATGTTTGTAATTCCATCGAATCTTAAAAAAAAAAAAAAAAAAGCAAGCATCATTAAAAGCTTGCAGACGGGCAGACAGGGACTGGTAGGCTGTGGCATGCTTGCTCAAGGTACACATTAAATTTTAGTTGGACTATGCTACATGAGACCATTTTTTAAAAAAAATCAAATTAATGTACTTTTTAGTCATTTTAAGTTTGAGACAATTTATTATTATAAAGGCCAGTCTAGCAGGGCGGGGGAAGCAGGCTGATCTCAAACTTTGCAATCCTCCTGCCTCAGTACTGGGGTTTAAGCATCTTCTGCTATGCCTGGCTTTCTGATCTTCGTGAATTAAGGAAGGCTTAAGGCTTTTGTCTCCCTTTCCTTCTGAAGTCTATAAGTAGTTAACACCCCCATATGACATAAAAAATGCAGAGAAGCCAGAGGTGCTTTTCAGGGCCATGTGCTCCAGTGGTTCTGCAGGGCTGAGAAAAGTTTCAGGCACAAGCAGGGTGTTTCTCAGTATGTGTCACCGGCCACAGTCTGTATAGAATTCCATACATGGTACCAGCTCTGTAGGTCTTTCTCATTATATCTTCTACATGGATGTCCAACATCCAAGCTAGCAAGTCAGGGGACACATTCATTTCATATCTTCCTGGTCCAAATATGTTTTAGAAAATTTTAGTTCTTTGAAACCATGGAGAGTTTTCATGTAACTTTGTTTTTCCCCCCAAAGAAAGTAAATTAAAGAGAAATGAAATCATTTAGAGTGTTTTTATTTTTTTCCAAAATCTATTCTGGTGTGGTATGTGATGTGTATCTAATATGTACATATATATATATATATATATATATATATATATATATATATATATATATACTTGACTTATATATGTATGCATGTAATATGTTTATATATAATATTTATATAACAATAGAATGTAGAGCTTATATATGAGTTTGTAATTTTAAACTGAAGGTCCATCAACATATCCAAAGACCATAATACCATAATCCTTTGGTGAATACTGACTTTATAAGTGTTGTAGTTCAAGATAAGGAAGGCAAAGCCACTATGGCATACACATACTCAATCGAAAACCTTGAGTTTTGGGTTGGGGCTGGGATTAACGGCAGAACACTCCCACACATACACACCCCCCACACAACTAGAAATCTGATTTGTCCTTTTAGATTGATTGGTTTGCTATGAAAGTTAAGAGATTTTGTCATCCATCTATACGTTCAGAAATATTGTTGCCCGTTTCAGGATGTTACTAAAGTCAGCAAATGTAAAAGCAGTCCACAAGACTAGTTTTGTAACAGGGGTTAGTTTAGAGTTTACTGTTTCTGAATGCTCACCACACCCACAGTTGTCCTGTGGAAACAGGTTTCGTGACCCTCATTCAGATTGGGTGAAGTGACAGCTGGCAGTCATAGCTAAGTGTGGACTCACTAACTACAGCAGGCTCTCACTCACTAACTACAGC